GGATCAGGCTGGCCTTTCAGGTTGCCTTCAGCCCTGCAAAGAAGCAGCTATTCTCCAGTTCAGGGGTGTCATTTCCTTCTGATGAGCTGTTTCCTGAGGAAGGTGTCACACCCCTAAATGAAGCCCTTTCCTTTCCCTTTGGGGTGCAGCATTCCCGTCCTCTTGAGCTGTTTCCATCACCTGTGGGCTGGATACTCACTGTGCTGTTGATCTGCTGGAGGTTCAGCCCCAAGGATGTGTTCCTCCTGTCACGGACTGAAAGAGCAAAGCTCCAGGGCTGCTGCCCCACCAGAACCAGGAAGACACTCCGTTCTGAGGCTTAAGGAAAGGTTTTATTTGTGGGGTACCCAGGCAGGGCATGCTGAGCGCGAGTCCTCCAGTGAAGCGGCCATTTCTCAGTGCCCAGCCTTACTTCTAATTAGCAAGTTGATCTGTTTCTGCCCAACACCATGCTGTGCCAGGAGGACGTGTCCTGTGCTGCTCTCTGCATCCCCATCCCCACAACTGGGATCTCTCTTCCAAACTTTGCCTCCTTTCCCTTTTAGCACAGACAGGAATCTGCTGCCCGTGGGGCTCCCACCCTTATCTGAAGGGTGACCCTCTGAACTCTCTGACACACACTAATAGGAGTTAATGACACTTATCTAGAAACTTATCTTTCTCTCCCTGCCTGCCCCACTGAAGCATTCCTGTATCTCACAGCCAGAACCATTCGCGGCATCCAGATGACACGAGCGCTCCTTCCCTGATGGGAGAAATGCAGTTCAGTCAAACTAAGCAGCCCTCTGATCCTCTTCCCCTAGCTTCTTTTTTTTTTTCCCTTTCCTTTTTTTAAAGATTTCATTTGCATTCATTCAGTACTCATCTGGTTATTTCTGGAAGCCTCTCCACTACTATTCTGGTCACTTTACACGGAACTGAGGATGGGACTTTTTGTCCTCTCTCTCTCTGTGCACTATTTATATCCTTCCATCTGTCTCCTTAGGTACTCAAGCATCCAGCTGTGTTATATCTATCACCTTGGCAATAGCAACAAGTGAGGATGTTTCTTCGCAGCTGTTAGCTCCCACAGCGGCTGCTCTAGAGCAAGGGTGGCAAACAAGGGACACCCCAACTGCTGTGCAGTTTTCAGCCCTGCTGCCATACCAGCAGGTTGTGAAAGCACCAAGGGCAGCCCCTGCTGGTTTCGCCCCATCCCTTTGCAGAGATGTTCTCATTTCCTGTGGGTTCATTCTGTACTGCTTCTCCTTCCCTTACCTCTCATTTACATGGTGGTCACACAGTGGTCCACAGCCATTGAGGAACCTGTGTTGGTATGTCCTGTGTTGGTATGTCCATCCCACCTGCAAGTCATAGAATCATATCTTAGAATGGCCTGGGTTGGAAAGGACCACAATGGTCATCTAGTTTTGACCCCCTGCTGTGTGCAGGTCACCAACCAGCAGCCCAGGCTGCCCAGAACCACATCCAGCCTGGCCTTGAATGCCTGCAGGGATGGGGCATCCACAGCCTCCTTGGGCAACCTGTGCCAGTTCTGTTTCTTCCTTTGTTTTGGCTGTACACCTTGGGTCACCAGGATCACACAAAGAGTTCCTGGCAGCAAGGTGCCTAGGATGTTTATCTACCCAAACAGTTCTCTGCAGGAACTGTGCCCATATTGTCGTGTCTGCTAAGAAACCTTATAGTCTGCTCTGTGTTATTGCTCTTCCCCCCACTCCATCTGAAAAGAACACGCGTTCTCTCCAACAGCCTGAAGGGTAACTGTTAGCAAGTGGGAAGACACAAACAGCAGACGGAGGAGGAGGTGGGCATGGTGGGCAGGTGGAGGGTGGGAGCAGATCCGTCTGTCAGCTCCAAGAAGAGGATGGGGAGCACAGAGATGCACTGCACAGCCCCAAATAGCTCCCGACCAAGGGATGGGATGCTGACAGCAGGTCCAAGTGGGGAGATGCACCAGCAAGAAGGAACAGCTTGCTCTTTGGGCTCAAGAGCTCTTGGAGAGATTGGCCATGGAGATGACTGCATGTTTCTGCTTGGAAACAAACTGACATTTAGAGAATTTGCACAGAAACAAAATTTCAAAAGACAGCATTGGCCTGGCATTATCCAAAGAGCCCCATTGCCTTACAGCCAAAGCATTTGGTTTTGGTTGCAGCTCCGCTCGGGGTTGTGCTGTGCTCCCTTTGGAAGAAGTGAGAATACAGAGGAAGTCGTTCTAAAATAAATCTGAGACTTCAAATGTAAATAATAAAAAGAGAACTTGATTTAAAGCGGGCAAAATGAACACCACAAAAAAAAAAAAAAAAAAAGGAAACATTCTGTTCCAAGGTTAGCACAAACCATTTCAACCTTATCTGCGGGCCTTTCTGTTTTGTAAATTGAGTTTTGTCAAAATCAGCACGTTCCAGTGGATAGTTTTGGCTTGGACCAAATGGCACTTTCAATCAGAACAACATGCTGCATCGGGAAGTTTTCCACTAGGTTTGCTTCCCCCTCCCATCATACTTTCCATTTTTGTGGCAACTTTGTCAGCCCCCCCGTTTCAGCTTGAACCTGATGTCCCAGGGGAGCAGCCAACCCCTGGAGCAGCCCAGGATGAATCGATGGGGTTCTCTGTGCGAGGATGGAAATTTGGAGCCTGCTGCTCCCATCTGAGCACAGCTTGTTGCGTGCAGGAAGGAAGCAGGGAGCCCAGCATTGATGCAGTTACAACAGCAGTCAATGTAGTAGCTATGAAAGTCAATGAAATGAGCCAATTAGGGCCAACTGAGCTATTTAACCCTCCGTCTCTGGGCATGGTTTCTCCACTCTGAGGTTGGAAATGGGATGTTGACTCCTGCCTTGCCCCATCTTGTTGCCTGTTAATAGATCTTTATAGGGAAGCAATTGGTTTTTGGTTCTGGCTTGTCTGTATCATAAACCTAGACATTGGGAACAGTGGGATTTAGAGGCAGTACGTGACTGAAGCGTGCCATCAAGATTCAAGTAGCTTGTAGCTGCCCACAGCTCCTGTCACAGTTGCTGATATCCCTTAGAGCCTTCCTGCTCTAACACCCCCAGCCTGGGGGAAAAAAATAGTGATACTGAACCTCCTCTATTTGCATGCTGAGCCCCCAGCCCAGCCTGCACAGCAGCAACCCAGCGTAGGACTTGCTGACACATCCATGGGACTGTGGGTGATGCTGAGATGCCTGGAGGATGCACATGCAGGGATAACTGTGCCATAAGGATCCCCCATTAGTCACTCAGAGCACTTCAACCCACCTCCTCAAGGGCATTCAGATCAAATTCCCCTGGATGCTCCATCCCAGGTCCACCCTGGGGCTGCCTGCAAGCACAAAGCTACCTTGTCTATGGAAGGGACAATAAAGCATGAGAAAGTCCCTGGTTTTTCTTCCCAGAAGTTTTCTGGCCTCTCCCCTTGCACTACAATCACTAAGAACATAAAATTCAGAAGTCAGAGTTCCCAGTTACCATTGCTTTCCCCAGAATAGGTGAGCTTTATCCTGGAGAGGTGGGACCAAATGGAGATGTGATGCAGCCCCTGTGCTGTAAGCCCCTCCCTGCAGGATCCTCTTTGGCCCAAGTCCCTTTGAACTGCTGTTTCTCCTGCCCTGAGCATGGATATAACTGTGTTGGTCTCCCTTAACCCCACCAGCAAACAGGCTGCTGCCCCACACCTCCCAGAGAGACAAGGATTTTGACCCCCTGTGGGGGGCCTGACCCTCACTCCTGCTGATGCTGTGATTGAGGTCAGCATAGGCTGCCCTATGGGTGGTCCTGTTGCTTGTTTGCAGCCCTGAGGCTCACAGAGCCCATCTCCCCACAGCCACTGCTGGCTTTGAGCCCAAGGGTCCCCATCTTCAAGCTGTGTTTTGGTAACTTCAGCATAGCTGCTAACGTGGATCATGCTTAGCTTCTCTTCCAGGCTCTGTCAGCAGGTTTGCTTCTTCATCACCCCATGCCTCAGTTTCCCCAGCCATAAAGATAAGGACAACCTTTTCTATTGAGGGCTGCAAGGCATCACTACAATGCCTGCATGCTGCTTCCTTAGGTGAGAATCATCACCCCAATATGCAGAGCCCCACATCTCACCCAAGCCATGCCGGTGAGATTGCCTGGGTGGCCTTGGGCACATTTCTTTGTCATTCACCACCTCTGATTTCCCCATCCCTGAAAGCAGAGGTAATAATACTTACCTGCCTCTGGGATGTGTGAGGATTAATTAGTTACCTTCTGAAAAGCCCTTTGAAGACTCAGCACTTTCCATAAACACGCAGACCAACTCCTGCAGGCGGGCGCAGGTAGGACTGAGGCAGGGTGCCTATGTGCTGCAGAGATCACCAAGCTGGAAGAGGACAGGAATATGTAAAGTGAATTTCCTGCACAGAGCTTGATAACAAAGCTGAGCAGCAGGCTGAAAGTCAGGCTGGAGCACCGTGTGTTATATATGCTGTTCTTTCCAGACTTGAGATTTCTGAGTCTTTTCCACTCTCATGGAGAAAAAAACCTCTAAAGGAAGAAGAAACCCATCACGAGAGAGCAGAGGCAGCATCAGGGTGCCCATCCCTGCTGTTTGGTGGGTGCCATGCCACGTTGGTGGCCAAGATTACTCCTGATTGCCAGCTCTGATGGGGTAGAAGCCATCAGAACTTCTGTTTTCCTTCTGGTCACAAAACAATGTTAATTGTTTCTATCTTTGGACAAATTATAGCAGCACAGAGCATGGCATTCCCACATGAAACAGCAGAAAATGTTTCTCTTAACTTAAGGAGCTCATGAAATTGCCAGCAATGCACGACAGACCCCAAGGACAAGGCAAGAAGAAAGCAAAGACCGCAGCCAGAAAGCTGTGACTGGTTAGCAAGTCTTTAAACTATAGAAAAATGAGAATCTTCATCTTCTCCACAAAAATCCCAGGCTTGGTCACCACCGATGTGGTTTGGCACGAGGCTGTCACCACATCTTGGGCATTAGAGCAAAGAGTTTGCCTCTATTGGTAATTCCCTGGGAGCCCAATGGTAGAAGGGCCTTGAATTGAGTCAGGACAGAGGGAATGAGGGCGGTGAGGCCGGCAGGGGCAGCAGCTCCTCATCACACCTGAGTCAGCAGAGTTTCGGCTTTGTCGCGTTCCCATCAGGATGAAGGTTGAGTCACTGCAGCCGAGCCCTGAATGCTCCCGTTTCCTATTCCTGCTCTGTGCTGGCAGCCTGGGGAGGGAAGGATTGGATGCTTTCTTCCTGTGCCATCGAGTTTTATTTTTGTTTTTACTGAATCTCTTCAGACTCGAGTTCCTTCGTTTCGGAAATGAGGCTCGTTATGGGTTGCTATCTTGATCCCCTCTTCACAGCTCTTCATTAAGTCTCTCCTCAGCACCTGGGGAGCTCCAATAGGGAGAATATTTAGCCCTGGACTAGGGCTTTTTGAGCAACATCCAAAGGAATGCAGAAATCCAAGGGAGAATCAAAGCAGAAGAAGTATCCACGTACACAGGGCATGGTGAGGATGGGTCGATGGTTGGATTAGAGGACATTGGTGGTCCAACCTTAATGAACCATTTGAGCATTTGGGGCTCAGCCCATCAGCAAAAGGTCTCAGGACATTCCCAGCTGAATTACCTTCCTCTTACTCTGTGCCTCTTCCCCATCCCTCCACATTTTATTTTCCTGTACTGCTTTTTCCTGCCCTCCCTCCCCACCCAAGCTCTGAATTAACACTGGCTATGAATCCAGCCCCATCTCAAGCCATCAAACATGCCTGGGTACTTTCCCTCTTGCTTACAGAAATACAGAACACAGGAGAACTTCTGTTGTTTTTTTTTTTTTTTTTTTTTTTCCCCCTTGCTCATGAGCAAAGTTCCCAGCAAAGAAATGACTCTGTGTGACACAGGGCTTTGAGGTATTGCTCTTTGGCCACCTACCTGCTTTTCCTAGTGCAGAACTGTGGTCCTGGGTGCATTCAAGATGAACTAGTGGCTAGGAAATGCACAGGCACTGGGTTGTGATGGTGTTGGGATGATACAAGAAGGATGGAAATAATGGGTAGGGCTGAAACCTGGAGAAGACAAATTGAGGATATAAGCCCTGCAGAGCAGCTTGAGGGACTCCTTGGTGATGGAGACCAGCTGGCTTACAGGAAGGAAACACGACCTGCTGTGATAAGTCACATAAAGCCACAAGGAAAAGGAGATGGGAGTCCCAAAGCCACGCACTGGAAGGGCACACAGTGGGAAAAGAGCTGAGGAAAGAGCTGGAGCAAGGTCCAGCAAAGGCCTGGAGGGACAGGGTGCACAGTGAGCAGCCAAGTGCTGGGGCACAGCAGGCAGAGGCAGCCTGGTGCTCAGGTGTGGGAACCAGCAGCCTCACCATGGATTAGCCGACGTGCCAGCGGGGCGGGATGCTGGGAGCAGACTGCTCCACCGTGACTGAGAGCCTTTGTGCTTTGTTGCTGAGCACGGGATTTCGTGGCTTTATTGCAGGAAGGCCTTTCCCAGTGCTGTGTCAGCACTTGCAGCCAGAGCCCTGCTCTGCCAGCCTCCCTGCTCCTGCCACAGGGCATGTTCCCCTCCCCTTGACTTGAGGGTGAAGCAAAGCAGCTGTGCGAAAGTCAGGAGAGGAGCAAGCAATGAGGGAATGCCAGGAGCAAAGAGGCATGGCTGTTCCCTTCCCACTCTTCAGGTTCACAGCCCTTCTAGAGAGCTGGAACTGGGCTGTTTGCGAGGTGGAAGCACAGACAGCAAGAGCTAGTAGTCTGGTGTTCAGCTCTGCTGTTTGATCTGTGGCTGCTCTCGCCCTGTCATCTGCTTCTCTTTCATCTCTCTCTATGAAGAACGCCTAGGACAACCATGGCTTTGGTCTCAGTGAGGGCCTTTGTGATGGCTCAATGAGCAGACTTCCCAAACCTTCACAGAATGAGGGCAACATCCACGGAGCAGACCCTCTGGGAAGGATCTTTCATTCAAGTGGACCCTGAGGCTGCTTTGCATTCTATTTCTCCAAAGAGGAGATGCTGCATGGGCAGGAGAAGGCAACCCTTCTTTATCCCAAAGCAGCTCCCCATCCTGTCCCAGCTGGCTAGAAAGGCTCACTCAGTACAATGCATTGACTGGTCCTCAGATAGAAATATTCCCACTGCTACAGTGCACTGGTGCCAGATAAGAACCAGTGACCTAGAGAACAGAGCCCTGCATTTCCTATTTGGATAGAGCCAGCTAGGCCATTGTAGGGCTGCTACCTCCTGTCAGAGCTCATTGAGCTCTTGGCTGGGGGAAGGGATGCTTGCAGTTCTTGCAACACAGTGCCACCTCCAAGCTTCAACTTCCACATGCAGCATTGCCACCTGCAGCTGCCCTCTGATCTGCAGCCCCATCCCCTGTGTTCTGGGAAGGCAGCCCTCCCCTCCTGTTCCCTTTGAGAGTCACTGGGGGCTAAGGTGAATCAGAGCATGACAAAGGCTTCCAGTAAAAGTGTGCTGCTGCAGGAAGCAGAGGCCATGAGTCAAAGGCAGCACTCCTTCCCAGCGGGCTGCAGGCACTGACTAAGCAGGGTGAGGCAAGCACTGCTCTGAGTGCCTGGCAATCCATACCAACACCCTCCTTGGTAAGAAGCAAGGTATTAACCTCAACGCCTCAGCCAAGCACCACTTCAAACCTTTGCATCCTGCCACCTGAAATTCCCCTCCCAGGATTTGGGATCCTCTTTCCCATGTCTCACCCTGCTTAACACACCTGTGGTGTTCCCTTGGGCTGCTGGAGGCTGATTGCATTCTGCCCTGGGAAGGCTTCATTTCAAGCCTTGATCTCCATGTAAAAATAGGAAGGGATTGAAATAGGAATTCAGAAATACCAGAAGGAGAAAAAAATGGAAAAAAAAGCCAAACACAAAGCTCACCAATTGCGAAAAAGCTCCGTCCCATTTCTCCTTCCACAAAGAGTTCCTGGGTATCTTCTTGAAGTGCCTTTGCCTAAAAGCATGCAAACCCAAGGCCAGGACAGTGCCTCTTTTAGAGCTCACAGTGCAAGGAACCAACTGAGAATGAGGTGCTTGGTGCAAGGTCTTTTATAGGTGGGAGCATGATGCATTGCTTTGCCCTTTAATGAGGTCCAGCTGCTGTGACCTCCACATCCCCTTCAGTTCTAAGTGATGTGAAGTCTGTTAGGACTCATTCCTCTGACATTTGCTTCAGCTGTGAGATTGCCCCAGCGAAGGGCGGCTCAGCACAGTGCTGCCAAGGGCTGTTTCAGTGCCCTTGGGGTGAGATGAGTATCAGGGAACAGGAGAGAGAAATCGGTGAGACACCTTGCAGAGGCAAAGTTGTGCAAAGCAGAGTGGAGTTCACATGGTGCTTAACAAAGAGGCATTGATCGGAAGCTCGTTGTGACAGAGCACAGTGCTTGGAGATCATTTCCAGAGCTTTCTCTATGGGGAAGGGCAAGAATCCCACACTTGCAAAATCTGCTGCCTTTGATGGGTTGATGGTCAGACTAGATGTTAGTGGTCTTTCCCAAGCTTAATGATTCTAAGATTTTAGGCACTGGAGCATTCTGCAAAGCCTGGAGGGTCAGCAGGCTATTTGCACATCACACCCAGGGTGCCCAGCCCCATATAAGGCACCCTGAGTCCTGCACAGGGCCCCTAAGGCCTGGCATGACCCAGTGACTATCTGGGCTTGGGATCGTGGGGAAAGGCACCAGCACAAACCACTTCAGAAGCCAAGGTGGAGGAGTAGCATCCCAGAGGTCTCTGCTAATGAGTGCTTGGCACCAACATGTCTTTGGCTCTCAGCTGGGCTTTTTCTACCTTAAAAACAACAACAACAACAACAACACAAGCAACGACAACAACAACCAAAAAGTAAAATAAAACAATGAGTAAACTGCAGCTCAGCAAGCTTCAGCCTACACGGCTCACCACTGATGTGCTGCTGCCCCGGGAGCCGTCGGGGTGGATCGGTGGGCACTGCAATGCAGGGTGTATCCCAAAGCTTTTCCTCTGCCATGTCGACCACACGCAGCACTCAGCAAAGCAGCAGCAAGGTGCACGTGCACACACACCTCCTGTTTAATATGTCCAAGCCTCTCCGCAGGCTGATTGCTGATGTTATTTTCTCCTCCTCGCCCTGGCTTGCACGCTCGCTGCCATCAATAAGCGATGCGTTTGCCCTTATGAATTATTGAGTGTGTAACAGGGCCGGCCCAGCTCAGTCACCTTGCAAACCAATGCTCCCACAAGCATGGCAGCAGCCAGTTTGCCCTCTGGCTCCTGATGGAGAGCACGGGATGCTGATCCAGCACCTTGCAAAACCCCTTTATGTCACCCGTTGTCTCTGCTGAGGTTTGGGTGTTACTGCAGCAATGCAGTGGGTGCTTTATTTCCCCCGATGGGAAGCTTGGAGGAGCAGAACAAAAGGAGTTTACACTCTTGCAAAAGAGCCATGAGTTATTCAGTCACCTGGAAAGGAAACATGATTTCCGCACAGTGTTTGCTGTGTTTTTTTGGTTGGTTTTTTTTTTTTTCGTTTTCCCCTGAAGCCTCTAGAAAGTTTGGAATGTGTTTTTGTTAAAGCTGCTGCATGTAGGGGCCTGAAAACAGTGCTGGCAGCGTCGTGCTGTTGGCAGTCTCTGCTGGCACCAGTTTCTTCCCCAGCCCGGAGCTTGACACTTTGCACCTGGGAAGAGGAGGGACCTCACTGGCTGAGGGTCAGCTCCATCAGCACCCAGTTTGTTTTGTGTCCTGGTACAGTCTGTGCTGACGCACGGATCCCATGGCAGGGGGAGGTCAGAGCTGGGAACTGTTCCTCCCACCCAAGGTCGAGGACAACCACTCAGTTCACAAAAGGGTCATTCATTCATTTGCAGGGAAATCATAGCGTAAAGAAAGAGCATCGTAACAGAGGTGAGGGGGTGGATTGGGTTTTCTTGTGATATGCACCACCAGCATGCTTGATACCGTTATTTAAGAGGCACACTGTGGGTGCCCATCCCTTGGCCTCAAGCTTGCATAGCTTTGCAAGCAGACCTTCTTGCCCACCCCAGAGATCCTGGGCTGTCCTATGGATGCCCAGCAAGGTGACCAACGTGATGGCTTTCCATCCTCTCTGTGAGATCCAGCCTGTCTCCTGCTTGTCTGGCACTGTGAGGAGGCACGGAGTCACCACATCCCGCTGCCACCAACGTGGTTTCTTCCACTGGAGTCCCAAGGATCCAGTGGGGGGGTCATGGTGCTGATGTGGGCATGGGGCCAGTGATACCATCTCCCCAGCCCTGGGAGCACGAGCCCTGTGTGGGAGAGGAGGGGAGCAATGAATGCACTTGGCTGCAGTGCAGGTAGGAGCAGCGTGCTGAGCGCACAGGCAGCCAGGCAGCCCCAAGCTGGGCGCAGGTTGTTCCCAGGGCCTCTGCTACGTGATTGCTGTTGCTCTCCTGCAAGCTCCCACATGTCTTGGGAGGCTGTGAGGGCTTCAGAGGCAGGCTGCTTGGCAGGGCTGCTGTGCACCTCCATAGGTGTGGGCTCAAACCTCCAGGCTAGAAGGAGCAGCTTGTGCTGCAAAGCGAGTCGGAGGCTTCTCCCTGCTCCACACCCGCCTGTTCTTTCCCAGAATCCTAGCACTGCATGGTCCAGATCCAGCCCTGCTCTGCACCCGCTGCCCTCATTCCATCAGCTGTGTCACAGGTCATAAAGGTGTTCCGTGGGGTCTTGCTGCTTGGATGTCCTCCCTCAGTTGTCAAGGAGAGACATCATCCAGCAGTGACTGCACTGGAGCACGAGCATCCCTTCCCTCTGCCTTCTGGTGGGACACGCATGGCATCTGGGTGGGATGGGAAGGTGCAGCCCTGTGGCCTCTGAGGACCCGATGGCTTTGTGCACACAGGCACAGGAGGGCACCAGTGCTATGCTGTGGCTGTAAGCAGCACTGGGAAGCATTCAGCAGCATCCAGCTGCAGTGTAGGGTGTGGGGCAGCCCGGTGCCTGGCTCAGGAAGGGGGCAAGCCCACACAAAGCTCCAGAGACCGAGTTTCGGTCTTAATTGCTGCCGACTGTGGTCAGCTGATGGCGTCTCATGGCTGGGTTGGGTTGCTGAGGCTTGTCCTCGGGGTCATGGGCTCAGTGTGCAGGGGAGGAGAAGGGGAGAGAGCACTGAAGCTGCAGGAATGGGACACCCATGGCCATGTTCACGTCCTGTCAGCTAAAAGATGTGTTCTGTTTCTCTTGCTGTCAATTTCCTTTTTTCTTTCCCTTCCTTTTCATGTTTCTCCCTCTTTGTACCTCTTTCCCTTTTCCTTACCCCCTCTTTCTTCCCTTTCCTCTCTGTCTCCCAGAATACATCCAGTTTCAGATGCTGCCAGAAGCAGCGAGCAAAACCTGCTTTTCTCGTTCTCACCGCCTTCCTTCCCCCTTGTATTTCTCATAGAAATACTGGCTGTATAATTATCAGTGCATTATCTCTAAACATACAGATTAGGGAAAGACACAGTGGCAGCCAAAGATGAATTTCAGGGTCAGTCTGGTGGGAGACATTTTCTCCATCTGGCAGGGGAGGACTCAAACGAGACAGAATAGCAGCTGGGAGCACAGCCACAGCTTCTCCCAAGCATCTTCCATCCTTCCTCTGCAGAACCCAGATGGAAGGATCCTACTCTCAGTCCTTAAAAATAAGGCCACTGAAACCACCCAGATCATACAGGTAGCTCATGCAAGGTGTATGACCACTGCCATAAATCCGTTCTTCTGTGGGAGCTATTGCTGCTCTGTAATCAGGGCCTCAGTCTCTGCGGCTCATTTAATTACTGGTGCACTTCCAATAGGATTAAATGGGTGTCTGAGTTTGTGTTAGCATATGTTGGGACACGCTGTGCTGATAAATATCTGTGCCTTCATGTGCCTATGGATACACAAGTTCTGTGTACTTACAATAAATGATGCGGTGCCTTCCGAGGTTGAAGGCAAAAGGAAAGTATTCTTGATCCAACCTGGTAGCTGTAGAGCTTTAGGGCTGATCATGGTGACTAAGCGAAGCTGTTCATGGGCCCAGCATGCAAGAATTGTTCTTTTTTTCCTTATTCTAGGCCAATTATGTGTGTATATTCATGTTTTCCCATGTCATTGCAGCGCTGCAAGCTCAGACTGTCTTAGTCAATGACACAGTCTCGGGATTTATCGGGACAGACGTGGTCCTGCACTGCAGCTTCACCAACCCGCTCCCCAATGTGAAGATCACGCAGGTCACGTGGCAGAAAGTCACCAACGGCACCAAGCAGAATGTGGCCATTTACAACCCTGCCATGGGGGTCTCCATCCTCTCTCCCTACAAAGAACGGGTGACTTTCCGGAACCCTTCCTTCAAAGATGGCACCATTCAGCTCTCTCGGCTCGAGTTGGAGGATGAGGGGGTTTACATCTGCGAGTTTGCCACCTTCCCAACCGGCAACAGGGAAAGTCAGCTGAACCTCACAGTGCTGGGTAAGCTACTGGGCAAGCCCGTGATGCAAGCTGTTGCTTCCAGTTAAACAGGTCTGGAGGAACCTGAGACTCCCGTCTTGGGAACTCAGGGCAAAGGTTGAGCCTTTGGTGTGAATTTCACCTCTCATGCTCTTTCACGTTGTCCATAAAGAGGTGGAGAGCAGGGAAGCCAAAGTAGGTGGTTCATTGGGTTGTCTTGGGAATGTCTCTTCCTCTTCCCAGACCCCAGCTACCTTATTTCTTAATGCAGGTAGAATAAGAATGACCTGTCCCTTAAGGGCATGGTGAGTTTTAACACCCTGTGTCTGTCAGGTGAAGAGAGAGGAGAGACAACAGATCCTAAACACAAGTAGAGCTTGTCCTTGGAGCATAAGGCTGTGAGTGAACAGGCTCTACCCAACATCTGCATGATTCATTTGCTCTTCAATTTGGGTTTCCCATACTAACATGGGGATGAAAACCTATTGCAAGAAGGGACTTTCCTTCATGTATGCATCCAGGGCAGGTCTAGCAGCCGCTAGCAGTTTACAGGAGCTCTGCGTACACCACGAGGTCTGTCGCAGTGGTGCTTGATATCTCCTATTGCTTTTGTAACCCCTTTGTATTCTTCTCTCCTCCTCCTCCTCCTTTTCTGCACTTCCTTGCAGCCAAACCCACGAATCGGATGGAGGGCACCACGCGGCCGCTTATCGCCAAGTCAGGCAGGACAGAAAAGATCTTGGTAGCCACTTGCATCTCCTCCAATGGGAAGCCCCCCAGCACCGTCACCTGGGACACCAAGCTGAAAGGGGAAGCAGAGTTTCAGGAGATCCGGAACAGCAATGGCACCATCACGGTGATCAGCCGGTACCGCTTGGTGCCGAGCCGTGAAGCCCATCGGCAGCAGCTCATGTGTGTGGTCAACTACCAGCTGGACCGCTTCACTGACAGCATCACCCTCAACGTGCAGTGTAAGCAAACACTGGAGGGGCTGGGGAAATGAGTTGTGTGAAGGGATGATGCTGGTCTGGTGCAGGGGGGGGGAGTGGGGGTTGCTCTCTTTCTGTGGAGGGTGAATACTTGGAGTAATTGTATGGTTTTCCTTTCTCATACCTCCTTTCCCTTGTTGCCTCTGCCATGTTCCTTTGTTCCTCCCTTCATCTCGCTCCTTCGCTCACTCTCCCTCTCCTTGCCTCCTTCTCTCTTCCTGCTCCCTCCCCGTTCCTTTTCCTTAACGCCATCCCCTCCTTTTCCATCCTTCTCCCTCTCTCTGTCATCCCGCTGCAGATGAGCCAGAAGTCACCATCGAGGGCTTCGATGGCAACTGGTTCCTCAATCGGAAAGATGTCAAGCTGATATGCAAGTCTGATGCCAACCCCCCAGCTCACACCTACGAATGGAAGCTGTAAGTACCTGCAGTATTCCCACCTCCTGCACACGGCATCAACAAGACCAAGGAACCTCTGTTGAAATCCCTTTGCTTGGTCAGCTCCCAGTCCCACTGGGATCACGGTGCCGACCGCATCCCCACGCATCTGACATTAAGCAGAAGCAATTCCTCCTCCTCCTCCAGGGCTGCAGCTTTTGGCTGAGCACAGCAAGGGGAGCGAGCAGTGAGCGAGGGGTGCCTGGGGAGCCAGGTGGGAATTGATGGAACCCGAGGTGCTTCTCTCTCCCTCTCTTTGCCATAAGTGCTCACAAGACTTTAGAAAAAAGGAAGATCAAATGGATGCTTTCTTCTTTTCAGCTGGCGTTTGTCAGAGAGAGGTTCTCAGAATGGCTTTGCAGAGAGCCAGGCACATTCTCTCTCATTTCCCTTCCAGATCAAACTGTTCACAATACAAATCTGAAGAGGGTTGTTTTTCTTGCCTTTCTTCTGCTTCTCATCCCCAGCTCTCTCTGTTGGTTCTGCCAGCTCACTTAAGCTCCAAGGGGGCTCCCTGGGTTCCTCTCAACATTGCTAGGGAGGTGTTAGAGGCAAAGATACCCCGGGTGGCACCCGAGGCAGAAGAGATGCCAAGGTTTTCTCTCTGCTTTTGGGCAAGTGGCTTCATCCCTTTTTCCTGCAGTTTCTCACGTGCAGAGCTGGAGCCTGAGCTCTTGCTGTGCTCCTGGGCACTGGGCAGCTCTCAGCATGTTCAGACCCAGCCGACAGCACCAACATCCCTGTCACTGCAGCCAGTTGTCCTGTGAATTCTCTGTATGGCCATTTGCCTGCCTTTAGCCTGCTGTCCTTTTGAGGGTTTCCAGGAGCATCAATACTTTCCTTTGAGAAAGACCTGTGGGGAGAAAAATGAAGAGGAGAGCACAGAATTAACGAGGGCAGGTTTCTGAGCCCGACGGCGCTTCGATCCAATTTCCCATCCTCTCCCTTTTGCACATTTAGTGGGTTGCTTAGGACTGAATATAGGATTATTGACCTGAAAGAGGATGGAGAGGAAAGGCGGAGTGACGGCGGCGATGAGCAACAGTGGAGCTGTGAGAGGGATGGCAGCCTCCCATAGCATCCCACAGCAGTTTCCAGATCTTTGTAGATTGGGAACTCCTTGCAGATTGGGAACCCTGAGTCACCCACAGGCAGAGAACCAACGTTGGGCTTCTCTGTTCTTCAGTCAGCACTGGGAAAGAATGCCCCTTTTTGTGACTAATTTGCCATACGTGTGTATATATAGGCATGCAAAATGTGTGTGTGTGCACTTAGGCACTCTGCAAATGTAATTATACCCCATTATTCCCTTTTGTTTCTTACAAATTGCCAGCAATATGGCACATTTTTTGTTGAGAAGAGGGGAAAGAATTACTTGAGTAATTTTTAATTGCCTAAGAGAAGTAATTACTTGACTTTGCTTCAGTAATTAAGAATAACCAGGCCATGTGTGTCGTTTTCCTAACGCACAGGCTTTTAATGTTTTCTTTATCTGCCTTTGTTCATTTATTCTGTGTACCTCTAGATGTAGTTTTGCATTATTCCACTTCCACACTCACCTGATTCTCCTGACATGGGCAGGCCAGACTGTAAATCAGGGCTGCTTTACTCAAGCTGAGGTTGCAATTAACACTGGCTGATCAACCGGGAGTTCTACGGGCAGGACAGCAGGATAGAGCAGGGTTAGGCTGGAATTCCATCCCGTGTTTTCCATCCTGGGGGTCTAGCACGATCTTTTTTTTCTCCCAGGCCAAACGGGACTCTGCCAGGGAGTGTAGAAATCCAGAACAACACCATCTATTTCAAGGGCCCCATCTCCTACAGCGTGGCTGGCACCTACATCTGTGAGGCCTCCAATGCCATCGGCACGCGGTCGGGCTTGGTGGAAGTCAATGTCACAGGTAGGAAACCACGTGGGCTGCTCTGAAAGAGGAGGAGGTGGGAGAGGAGGGTGGGAGCTGCTCACCTCTACCAGCCTAAATGTTGTCATAATTTCTGTTCGAATCTCCAGCGTCTCCTTCCAGCAGTGGGGAGTTTGGTGATGCGAAGGGAGCAGAGATGGTCGTTGCTTTGTGCCGGTCTTGCTTTGGTGTGCTTGGGTTTTTCTCCTTTCCTCTCGTTGTGTTTTTCTTTCTTACACCAAGAGGCATTCAGTCTCATTCTCCCTTGTCTGCTTTGGACTCAGATAGCTGGTTGGGCACGCTATAAGCCGAGACATGTCAGCAGTGTGTTTGTTGGGAGGCAGGAGGAGCAGGGTGAGGACAGGGCTGACAGTGAGATGGGTGAGCCATTTGTTCAGGTGTTGCTGATCGTGGGCAACTCGGTGATTTCTTAGCTGTGCTCCGTCCAACGCTGTGTTCCTCTGTGCTGTGTGTGTCATCATGAATAGCATTGCCAGGGCTCCGGAACAGAATGGTGTTACCCCCAAAAAAAAGATGCACCAGGATGGGGGGTGATGCGCCGAGGGCTCCGTGCTGCTCTCCATCGGGTACCCCTGCATCCCAAGGGAACTGTGGCCAAGCAGCAGGTGGAGCAGAATAACTGGGGTTGCTGGGGGAGCAGACCTGCTCAGGGGAGCTGGGGAGCAGTGGTGGGGAGCAGAACGAGCAGGGCTGAGCTCTGACCTCCTCCAATGAGCCTCCAATCGGCGCCTCACTGCTCAGTTCCCTGCTCTGCAGTGTGGGGAAACCAGGATGATCTTCTGCTACCCGAGCACTTGGAGGTCAGTGGATGGGATGTGCTAAGTAGATGCTAATTATGAAGTATTTATTTGTGATCATTATCGTGGTAGAGGGCCTTTAATTCGCACCTCCTGACCTGGATCCGTGCCTGCTTTGTTGTTCCTGCTATCTGCCTCTCTCTCGGGGATTTTTTGTTTGCTGGTGGAAGGAGCAAGACTAACAGAGCTCTGTGTTGAGCACAGACGTGGGACAGCACCTGCCCTGCCATATCCCTGCCCAACACCCACAGAAATCATTTCCAAAACCCATCTCAGCAAGGTGCCTTCCAGAGCACCATGTTTCTGGGCACTGGGGACAGCAACCAGGATGTCCCCATCCCGGTGGTTTTCAGGGCACAGGTTCTAACACTCAGCAAGGGGAAAATGGGCAAGTTTTCTAGGGAATGACTTGGAGTGGGGGTCTGCCTGCCCACAGTCCCAATTTATTCCCAAAAGTCTGAACTGTGGTGCTGAGGTTACACGAGTGGGATGGAGGGACGCAGCAGCCCCTGCTCCCTAGGAGGGATGAGCAGCTGACATGCTAAACCAGGGCTCCACCATGTAAAAAAACCCCACACTGTTAATAATTCATTGGATCTGAATATGTTTATCCATCTCTCCCTTGGGAACGATTAGGCCAGTGCTGGGGAGGGTTCAGCCTTCCTCACCCAGCTTTTACAGGTACATTTATTTGGGTCTTGCAGGCAATTTAGGGATTGTCAGTGGACCACGAAACCTCTTTCAAGAAATGCAATGCAATAAATGGAGTTCAATCTAGTGAGCAGCCAGCCTCGGGAGTGGAAAAAAATAAAACCCATGACAGAGAAGGCTGATGCAGAGAAAAACCTGCAGCAGACATCCTCTCCTTCCTACCCATCCTGCCCTAGCATCCTTCATCCCAGCCCCGGGGAGGAGGAGCAGGGATGGGTCAGCCCTGGCTGGGAGGCGATTCGTTCAGGAGGAGAAGGCTGAATGATGCTCTTGGAGTTATAGCACATTAAAGAGATTGATAAGTGGAAATTTAATATTTTATTCCCGCAATCTGTTCCTGTAATAGCTTCTCCTGCCTTGCAGGACCTTTGTCAGTAGCAAGCAAGCCATGTAGTGTGACATGTAACTATTTATTATGGGCGGCTGGGTGACATTATAAAAGGCAGTGGGTATGGACTGCCTGGGTCTGCGTGCACATGCGTGGCAGCCCTGCATGGAGAGGAGGTCACATGCATGCACACAGCTGTGTGTGCCCTCTTTCTGCATCTGTTCCAGAATGCAGGTAGCCCTCCAAAGCTGCATGCCTGTATGGGGATGCCCTGCTGCACAGCCATGAGCACTGGTGCACTGGTATGTGTGAGTATACACGCATCCATGGAGATGTGCCTGTGTGCAGCAGTGTATGTGCATCTCCTGGTCTTTAGGCACACGTGTACACATCAGCTCTGCACACATGGGCAGCTCTGCAGCTTTGGCCTTGGATGTAGGACGGGGAGGGAGGCTGCAGGATCTCCCCCCAGATCTGCTTGGCTCGCAGTAGGGAGTTATTTACACAGCGCCAGCAATGCCAGCACAGCAAGGTCACCACACACAGCCAGCGGGGTTGTGACGGCTCTGAGCACGAGGGAGAGCACTGTGCACAGAGCACAGAGTCTCATCCCCAACAGCTGCATCCCCGGCTCAGCTCAGGGCTGCCCCGTTGGGGACGCTGAGGCTGGGGGGCTCTGCCTGCTGCTGCCCCAGGGGATGGCGGTGAGCAGCGTTTGCTGCAGCCCATCTGATGGCATCTGTGCCAGTGGGAGCAGTGCCTGATTGACGGGCGATAGGTGACCTGACACAGAGATTAAAGCCTAAGACATGTCTGGCATCCGGCCCGAAAGCCGTCACACTCTGACACACCCGCAGCAGCTGCTGAACTCCTGCATTGCTTGCCAGTGGTTTTTCTGCCCCTCTGCCTCCTATTCCAGCACAGGAATCCTCCAGCTGGGAGGAAAGTAGGACCCCTAGGAGCAAGAGATGGGCGTGCGTGAGGGCTGCTGTGAGGGAGTGAGCAGCAATGCCAGCAGGCTCTGAAATTACAGCCCTGTCTGCTGCTATCTCCTACCTTGACTCATGCATGGGGCTGCCAAACGGAACGGGTCAAAGTCCTGCAGTGTTTGGGTGTGGAGGGTGGAAAGGCTGCCGTCTGCAATCTGTCTCCTAAAAGAAATAAAATGCAACGATCCTTGCCATGTTTGCAGACAGCATCCGGGAGCTGGGAGCTCTCAGGTTCCTGTTCCCCATCCTGCTGTGCTGCAACAGGTGCTTGGCTTGGCCAGGCAGGAGGAAACCAGAGCTCCACGTAGGGAGCAGCTTGGGCTGACACACGTCCAAATGGGACCCTCTCATGGAGTTTGACATCTGCCTCAATGCCTCTGGCTCCTCTGAGAGTCTCAGCTGGTGCTAGCTCTTTCCTTGGCCCTTAGGATTGAAGGAAAGGAGATAAAAATGGGACTTCAACAAAAAAATGTGCCCACAAAAGCAGTACCTTTAAGATATCTCAGCAGCGCGACGAGCAGGAGGGCTTTTAAAAGCTGCTTTCCTGCCTATCATAAGAAGATTGTTTGGTGTCTAAAAATATGGCTTTTTCTGATCTAGGCCTTTCCTGCCCTCGGGAGCAGCTCCTGCCCCAGGGGGTTCTCTGATGTCTAATGAGGTTTAGGTCCCATCTCTGCCAGGGATCCCACGCTCTCTCCAAGAGCTCTGTGATAGGGATAATTTTGGCTCCTTCTCAGCGCTGAAGCCGGCCACCACGTTCAGAAAGCCATACAGGAGGGATTGATGGACAGGCAGCACGATTTGCATAAGTCTCCTTTTTCTTCAGAAACCAACCATTAAAAGCAAGATGAGGCTTTAGCACAGGGCCTATTGAAGCCACCCCTGCGATGGTACTGGCATCTTCATCTCCCCAAGGCTGGCACTGCTGCACCCATGGGTGCTGCCGGACCCGCTCCCTATTTCCATGGGATCAAAGCAAAGCTCAGGGCTGTCCCTTGTCACTGGGCTCCCAGCTGCTGCCCGGAGCTGGCACGGGGACAGGAAGCCAGGCTGAATGCAACAGCTGGCAGAGCGGGCAGCGGGCAGCAAGCATCTCTGCTCTAATTCCTATTCATGCAGCACTCCCTGTTTTTACGAGGGCAGCAGCAAGGGGGAGGCTTTTCGTGCCGGCATTAAAGCCTGGCTTGTTCCCCCTCCCTATGCTCTGCTGTCTCCTGTTTCTCCCGTCCGCTTTTCACAGCGGCTTTAATTCTCCCCAGACTCTTCCTAATGGATTTTTCACATGGGGCTCAGAGGCAGCGCACCGGCTTCCAAAAATTTCACGCACCCCTCGAGCACAAAAAGGGTTTTTTTTCCTTTTCCCACACTTCCCTCCTTCCCCCCCACCCCCTCACGCCACGCTTACGGTCCTTTTTACACCACAGACACAAAAGCGGGTGGGTGGGCGGCAGGGACTCATCCTGACGCCGGGCAGGGAGCGGCTGTGCCAACAGCATCCATTGGAACCGGTGCCCAGCGGGACCCGCAGCATCCCGCCCGCCCTCACTCGGGGCACCGCGCTGAGATCGGCGCTCGGAGGACGCTCGGATGCTCGGATGGGCAGCGACGGTCTGCATCGCCCTCCAGCGGCTGTGGCACGCGTCCCCTCCCCACCACCCCGCCTTCCTTCACCCCATCTGTACCCATTGCCCACCGCCCTTCCCCCCTTCCCTCCTTGCAGCCCCGTTGCCAGGCTGTGGTGAAGGGAGGAGAGCTGTTTGGGAGGGTTTGGGCTTGCCGTTTCGCTTCTCCCATCCTCTCTGCCCGCAGGTTGGGTTTGTTTTTTCTGGCGGCTGCGAGGAGGGTGGGGATGGGATCTGAACAGAAAATAGAGCCTTCCCCACACGAATTGTGAGCACGGTGTGATGGTGGTGGTGTCTGCAGCACCAGGGGGTGGCATGGAGGTGGGTGTTTTTTGGGGGAGGTGGCATGAATGGCATGAGAAACTAAATATGTGTGGGAAAGGTAGGAAAACATCCTTTTCATACCTCTGTGATTGGCTTTGAGTGAGGTTTGCAATGGGAAAGTGGGTCAAGCTCCTTCTGGAGGTGTGCACAGCCTTCCCCTTTGGATGTGTCCAGTTTCCAGAGCTGGGAGGCAGAGGGGATCAGCGTGGCTTTAAGGACTCTGCGCACGCCCTATCTGAGGCTTTTCAAAGTGGGGTCCCTTGCACAAAACCAGCCTTGCTGTTAGGTAATGCCAGGTAGGAAGAGGCTTCAGATCAGAGCTGTGGGCTGGGAAAACACCAAGGACATATCCAGCTTGCTGCTCCAACCCTGCAGCCCTCCAGGTGAGCCCTTGCTCTGTGCATGGCTTTGGGATTGCAGGGCTGGGCTGAGAACTGGCACAGAGCAGGATGGGTGCTGTGTGGATGTGTGTGTGTGGCTGAAGCTGAGCAGCACTACCAGGAGATGGACGTGACATTGCTTGCTGTCTCTGCAAAGAGGTTTTGCATTAAGCAGCTGGCTGTGACAAGCCTTCTGTTGAAGCAACATGTGGTTTTGGCTTCCCAGCTCCCGAGCCCAGCTCCTTGCACTGAAATGCATTCCCTCATTCCTGCTCTTTGGAAGGAGTTGCTGCCTCCTGCCTGTGCAGTGCCTTTCTCCTTGTTCTGGCTGCAGCAGGGAGCCCTCCAGCTGCCTGTCCCCAGCCCTGCTGCCCGCCGTGCTGCTCTGTGCCTCTTGCTGGCTCGTGAGGCTTTGCTCTGCAGGAAGCACGATGCTGTCGTTGGGATGTCTCAGGAAAGGCAGGAGTGAAGCAGCTCTCAGGCACGAGCAAAATGCTTGTGCCAAAAAGATCAGGCCGGTGGTTGCTCGAATTCAGAACCTTTGTCCAAACTGTGCAGCTGTTTCTGGAACTGTGTGTACCCAGGGGAAGCTCTTTTCCCCTCTCTTCCTTAGCAGCTGGGCGAAATGTGATGTAGGGAGAGCCACCCCCTGCATTGCCCTCATTTGTTCAGGACTTCCAGCCCCAGTGGAGTAATGTGGCTGGATCAGGACACATTTCTACCAGCTCATGCAGAGAGGACAGAAAGCAGACACTGCCTCGTCTTCCTTTGGACTCCGCTTCCTTTCATGCTCCTCAACCATATTGGCTGCCCTTATTGTAGGCTGTGCTCACATTGCTTGTCCTGTCCTTGGGGTGAAAGCTGCGGGCCAGGAGGCTGCAGAGCAGCAATGATAGCTCTGAGCAGGATGGCTTTGGGCACCCTCCTTGGCAGTGCTGGGGGATGCCAAGGGGCATTAATCTGGCATCTGCTCACCAAATTCAGGGGCAGGTGAAGGACTGAGGCAGCCCGATGCTGCCTGGACACCAACACTTAATGTGCACTTGGACAGAGAAAGCTGAGTCTAGCCAGGGGCTGTAACTGTGCCAAGGAAGTGCTGGGTTGATTTAAATCCTGGATCAAACTTTATCTGTGCCAATGCCGTGTGTCAAACCGCATGAAAGAGAAGAGAGCGCCTTTCCCATCTCTTTTCTTCTTCTCCTTTGGGTTATTTATATAGATATAAATAGGTCACAGTATCTGTAGGAACGAGATTAGCGTGAGCAGTGGCACTGCGGGTCAGGATGGGGTGGGATGCTGAGGAGGGGACATGAAGCACCGTGGCCATGGGGTGGGCACAGGAGCATCCTGGGGCCGTCGATACGCGTTGGCAAACTGGACCCAAAATGGTGGAGCATAAACCAGCCTGCACCTGGACTGGTGGCACTGGGCAATGTGGGATCCGAGTAGGGTGGGAAGGACACACCGCTTCCAGCTGCTGGGCTCCTGCATGCGGCTCGCTGAGCTTGGCACTGAGCTCCCATGTGCTGACCCTGCCAGGACGCACCCTTCTCCCCTTTCCCTGGCTTTTCCCTTCCCTGTTCCTTACCCTCATCTTCCCACCCCCTCACCCACCCCCACCCCCCACCCCCCCAAAAAAGAAAAAGAGAGCACGGCGGGAGGGCGCGTTTCCGCATGGTTTGACACTGTTCCCCCTTCCATCTGTCTTTTCCTACCCAGAATTTCCCTACACCCCGTCTCCAATCGATGATCGCAAATCCATGGTGCAGCCGAACATCCCCACCCCTGTGATTGGGGGCATAGTGGGAGGAGTCTCGCTGGTCCTGGTGGTGGCCGTGGTGCTTTTTGTGGTGCTCCGCCGCCGGCGTCACACCTTCAAGGGTGATTACAGCACAAAGAAGCACGTGTACGGCAACGGCTACAGCAAAGCCGGCATCCCGCAGCACCACCCGCCCATGGCCCAGAACCTGCAGTACCCCGACGACTCAGACGACGAGAAGAAGCCGGGTCCGTTGGGCGGCAGCACCTACGAGGATGAGGATGAGGATGCAGGAGCTGAGCGCAAGCTGGGCGGCCCCAACAAATACGAGGAGGACGCCAAGCGGCCGTACTTCACGGTAGACGAAGGGGAAGCGCACCCTGAACCTTACGACGAAAGGACACTCGGCTTCCAGTACGACCCCGAGCAGCTCGACATAGCAGAGAACATGGTCTCGCAGAATGACGGATCTTTTATTTCCAAAAAGGAGTGGTACGTGTAGCTCGGCTCGCCCCGGCTCCGGCCATGCACACACACACACACACACACACACACACACTCACGCGCATCCCCGAGCGGAGCCATGCACGGACCGGGGGCTCGGGGCGGGGGCAGCTTTGCTTTACGGATCATTTGTTTGGTGGGGGTGGGGGGGGGTGGGGGGAAAGGGAGGGGAGGATTGGATGGGGAGGTGGGAGGTCGGGTAATTATTTTCTCGGTTTTGGTTTTGCTTTTTTAATTTCTCTTGACGACTTTTCGTCCCCTTCTGTGGTGTTTGTATTGGTCGGTGGCTTAGGTGTTACTATTTGCTTTAACGACTGTTGCCCAGCCTGTATATTACACTCTGTTTGTGTCTCCGTGTCTCAGAGCGCCCTCCCCGAGGCTCCTCCTCCCGCTCCCACCCCCCTGAAACACTGGAATTTGTTTGTATGTCGTCGTCTTTTCTTTGCTTTAACCTCGGGAGGGGGTCCGGGGGCAGAAAAGCTCACGGCAAAGGAAGTGGAGGTGCCACAATTGGGGGGAAGCGATTGCTCTCGGTGGGATATATGGGGTGTTCCCACTGCACTGAGGATCTGCTCCCAGGTCACAATGGCTCAATACAGGGATCATGGGGAAGGAAAGCCCTCGAACAAACCCCAGGTGCATGGGCTGATAGCAGCGCGGAGCAACAGAGCTGCCATTTCCCTCCTGCCGTTCATCACCCTCCTGGCTTTTCATTTCTGCCTTTGTTGGAGCATGTTTTAAAAGAAAGACAAGGAGTATTTATTGCTGACGTTCCCTCTGTGACGGCTCAGAGAGGTGCTGGCTCTTCTCAGCCCTGTTGCACACCGGCACGCATCCTCCCGCCCACCCGTGGCTTTGGGGTCCCCTGTCTTTTATGATACCACTCAGACTTCATCGTCGTGTGTTTACACTTCTTTCTTCCTTCTTTCAGGCAGAGCATGCGGGCAGCTCGCTCTGTTTTAGCAATTTGGGGACGTATGGCTTCGCCTGCATTGATTGCCACTTTCCCAGTACCCCGTCCCTCCTCTAAGCAAAGCCTCAGTAGATAGGGAGGTAGAGAGGAAGGAAGGAGGGAGTTGGCGTGTTGCTCTCATCCTCCTTCCCCCTGCCTTGTGGACTGCTGCTATCTCTGCTCTGTGGATAGATGGGATTCCAGGCACTAGGACCTGACACTGATCTTATCCACCTTCACTGGGTCGGGGCTTATTGCTCTTTTTTATTTTTATTTTTTTTAATTGATGTATAAATAAATCTTTTGGTTTGGAAAGAAACCCCCAGTTTTCTGAGCTGTGTTGTCACGCACACTTGAAAGCAGCAGGACTCATTCTCCCCTTGCCTTACCCATTGGGTTTCATTCCCCAGTGTCACACTGCTGCAGGAGCAAGAGCATGGAGCCCGAGCCATGCAGATGAGCCAAGGTCAGGGCTCTGATCCATGCACACAGGGCTCAGGCCAGGCAACGCAGCTCATACCTACAGGCTGCAGCTCACTTTTATTGCGTTAGTGGGGAGCAGGAGAGGGAAATCCGATTGCTGCGCTGTAATCTTTCTGCTGTTCCTGCCAGCCCTCCCTGCTTCCTGGCTTCTGGCAGAGCAGCCCCGTGCCACAGGAAGCTCTGTGTCCTCAATGAAGGGGATGCAATCTCTGACCCTGCAAATTGCTGTGTCCAGCAGTGATTCTTTCACATGCCATCTTAGTCCCAGGAGGTCCAGTCTTGCACTGCGTGGTGCTGTGGGTCCAGATGTCCCCAGGGTTGTCGATGCTCTGCCAGTGGGAGCTTAGCCTGCAGTGAAATTGTGTCCCAGAGACCCTGGGTGTGATGTGCTGCAGTGAGGGCATGCAGACCTGGGTGGTGGGATGGTGCCCAAGGTAGAGACTTGCAAGGAAATACGCTTTGACAGCCGTGAGCCTTCACTTAAAGGTGTCACGTTTGGAGATTTCCCATCCACAGACAGTCCTCACAGTTAGCCACGTGGGGTATGGAGAAACAAGGAGGCTCAGAGAATGGAGATAGCACAGCAATATGGGATCTCCAAGCTAGATGCTGCCAAGCTTCACCTTTTGCTGTTCCATATCAGTGCAGACACTGCAGCAGCTCAGGTCTAGGAAGAAGCTCAGCCACAGGAGCACAATGATGTGGCTCAGAAGGGGGGCAGGTGAGGATTTTCCACCCAGAGACCCACAGGCTCAGCATGGGTGCTGTGCCATGCAAGGTGCATGGTGCTTCCCTCTGCTCCTCACCCCTGCTTCCTCCAGCATCACACTGGAGTTGCAATGATTTTGCTTCTTGCTGTTCCTTGCAAGGTCAGCTAATTGAGCGAAAGACTTATTGGGGTGGTAATTAGCGAGCTGATTAGCCGTTCATCTATAGCAAGGTAGGAGGAGAAAAAAAAACCAAACCAAGACAACACTGCAGATTGATGTTTCACCTGAGAGCTGCCTTGATGCAGTCAAAGCATCACTCCCTGTGTGTGCCCAGGGTCACAGCCCCAGATAAGCCCCCTCTTTATGTGCAGACTGTTCTGCTGGCATTTCCCTCTCACGTTATTCATTGCAATCCACCCCAGTGATGTTATTATTTTCACTTATTTAATTACAAGATGCTTTTTTTTTCCATTTTGCTCAATCGTTTTCATCCAGTCAAGGTTAAAAAGAAAAAAAACCAAAACCTCCAAAACCCTGAAGTTTTCTTTAGCTTCAATAAATAAATAAAAAACTAATCAGACTCCAATGGTAGCATTGATTGCAATAAGGGACAGAGGGAGGCATTTTCCTGATGTGGAGCCCAAAAAAAAAACAAAACAACAGTTCAGCAGAAATCCCTGAAGGCTGCAGGGAGAGAGGCTCCAAAGATTGATCCTCAAGCAATTAGAGAGGGGAACGAAATTAACGAGGGGCTGCTGCACTCCTGGGCTGTTTTTCTTTCCCCTGTGCCCACAGACAGCAGTGCACGTGCATGGAGATGTGAGCACCCAAGCTGCAGAGGGCAGGAGGTGGGGGATGCATTGCAGGAATGGGGATGGAGACCCTGTGGGAGCTGTGTGCCTTGCACGTGTGACACACCTGGGGTGAATGTAGGGAGTAAAAAGGAGCCAAACCCTCGGTGGCACAAAGCAGCATTGGGGGAGATGTCCTGACTGAGGATCAGTTCTTTTCTTTGATTGTTTC